AATTTGGTGGAATGCAATGTTGCTCTCACCAAAATTCTAAAAAAGGCTGTGTTCAAAATCAAAAGCCATACTGAATGTTCCTCAGGAATTTTCAAGCTAAAACGTTCAATGAAGGTAGGAGCAATATTTCATTGTACCAATTCAATGCTCAGATGCATAAAATATGGTCAATATGGTGAGTGTGAATATTGATGATTACATCACTTTTCCACCACCAAAATTTCAAAATGATATATTCAACTCTTTCTGAACTTCTGAATGAGACGCTCCGACCTTTTATCTTGTTGTCCTGATCAAAAATCAACTCACACTGATGATAAGAAGTATTTATGTAGCAATCATGACATGCTTTTAAAAACTGGCGGATGCGCTTATATCTGTCACCCAAAAAAAAAAGATAGATACCAACAACTTTTCAGATTTTTTTTTTCAAAAAATATTATGTCTACTGGATTTATCAACTCCTATATATAAACATGACAAGTCGACATTGACATTTTGTTAGCTCTATATATCTTTTCTTAAAAATTGTATTCAGTAAGTAATCATTATTGTATATTATGAAAAAATGTATTCATTATTTTTTTCTGCTAATAGGTCATTACCTATTTCATCTCGTTGAAAAGTTTTTCTATCATGGTATTATTTCACCTCACCATTTCTCATCAGTAGTGATTTTCTTGAAATCTGGCATTATAGGAATATGGATCGACCTTCGATCCAGTGATTTTCTGATATCAGTTCTCCTCATAATACTTGGTAAAATGATTTTCTTACAAAGTGAAATTCTTCCGACCCATGGAAAGCTCTTGGATAGGTACTAATAGATGATTGAAAGTAAAATCTAAATTTAATAATCAAATCAGCACTTCGAGCTGCTTCTACTAAGAAATTGAATTTTATATTTCAAAGCTATGATTGTCGATTGTTTATGAATCATACTCAATCGTGAACAAATCATAATTTGTGTATTAGTCATCAGTAAATGGTACCTATGTTACGGACCTGACGAATCATTTTTGAATGACTGACTATATTATCACCTAAATTGTAAACATGGTGACTGTGAATGAACAAGCTGATGACCACAAGGACGTTCCAAAATGTAACAACGACAAGCTGTCACCGTATTGTGGAGAATTTACTCACAATAAGTTGTGGCGATATTAAAATTTGTCGTGATTGATGGAAGTTAGCGAACGCTTAGGAAGGCACAGGGAGCGTGCACCCACCAGCTTTGTAACTTGCGGCTTTTCGATGGCATTTTTTACTGGGCACCTAGGTGGTAATTTATTATCTTGGATACGTTGGCAACGCTGGAGTGTTGAGCACGTTACACGCTTTACAAAATTTTATTCGCGTTTCAGTGCTGCGACAGCTTGTTTTTTAATGGCATTTTATGAGTATTTACCTCTTACACCCATTAATTTTCATCGACTATAGGTTGTACATTGATGTCGACCGGATATTTCAGGGCAATATGGCATGCCAAAATGACGAAAGTGATTTGAAACGTCGAACGAGGAGGTTTTAGGGTTCCCATTATTATACTTAGATAGTCCTAGCTGATGACTGGGTTTTAACAGCGTTTCTATATTAGTAAACCCACCAAACCCCTGAGACCGTTACAACTTTGATGTAGAAAAATACAACAGTTTCATGTTTTCGTAGAATTGAAAAAAAAAATAGTCTGAATTCCTAGCGAGTTAGAGAAATAATCATGAATTCAGAAAATGAAGTCTTGATTCAGAGAAAAAAGTCGGAATTCAAGGAAATGATATGAATTGATAGAAGAAAGTTAGAATTCAGAAAATTCAGACAGTGTGCATTAAGCGGGAATAATGAATTCATTGAACAAGTCTGATGAATTCTATGATCAAAGAGCAGATACTTCATAGATGTTGATGTGAAAAAATACATCAGTTTCATGCTCTCGTAGAATTTGGAAAAAATAGTCCGAACTTCAAGAAAATCGGAGGAAATATTATGAGTGCAGAAAGTAAAAGATTCAAATTGAATAAAGAAAAATGTTTGAATTAGAAAACAATCAGAATTTGAAGAGCATCAGTATCTGAATTCAGATGAAAAAGTCTGAATTCAAAGAATATAAGGTCTGGATTCAGAGAGAAATATCTATATAAATGTGAAGAAAAGCAGAAAGTTCAAATCCAGAGAAACTAGTCTGGAAAAAATTTCGAATTATGTATAGGAAATAGTTCATACAGTTTACGCCCAGCTGACATTCCCTATGAGTCCGAATTTGAGCAAAAAATTCTAAAGAATTCAACATAGACATCCCTTTGTAATCAAAAGGAGAAATTGGAAGGTGATTTCTTTTGTCACTCAAATTGGGACAATTTAAAATGTAGATGCAGATGCACCTGTGGCTAAAATACTCGCATTTCCATCGGCAATAGGTTTCACATTTTTACAATTCCTTTGCCAGAATAATATTATTCAAGATAAAATATGCCAGTCTCATTTCCCCTTAGGATAACGTCACCCTTTTATCACAATCGGATGACCCTTTTGCCTGGCAATAGATCGCTACACGCAATTTCACACCGTCTTTGCACCTTCTTCCTCGACTGTTTGGCAATGCTTCGGGGCATCAGGTGCAAATTACCATAGAGGCTAGGGAGAGCGCCATCTGAGGATATCTTGCCTTTTGGTTTTGAAGATATATGGGAACGATAATGGGTTTTCGACGATGGGTATTCTTTTCTGGAGGTGATTGAAGTTCATAAAGGTATTCCTATTATAAATTTCTATATAGATAATATAAAAACTTGGATGTCTACCATTCACCCCTGGTAGTTGGGGTAGTACACAATGGCCACAATAGCACAAAAATTAAAACATGTAATTCTTGATAGATTGAAATGCAATAATCAAAAATGAATATTTTCTTTTCATTGTCAGCGCACACTTTGTGTGCCTAATTGCCACAGAGCCTGCAGAGGTATTATATGCGTGGTATATAGCTGTGTTTCTATAATATATAGGAAGTCAAAGTTTGAGATTTATTCAAAATTTTCAAGTGTTTTTCTACAATTACACTATATTCTAAGAATGTTTAAACTCAAAATCATACCTAATTACTTCATTATAATCATATCATCAAAAGCTCTATAAGTAGGTATAAGCTACTCTTGACTGGAAACAGGAGAACTTACAATCTAGTAGGTAGGCTCTTTTCTTTCTCATAGATTCCGTCGTTACAACTGAATCTTCGAACGTAATTTTGACCCACTTTAGATCGAATTGATTTGAAACTTCACACACTTATGAAGGACCGATGACAATAGCAATATTCAATAGTTTTGTTCCATTATCAGGATCTTCAGGATGAGCGATTTTGTTTTTTCAATAAAATGGTGATATACGTTCCGCCACCAAATTTTCAAATGTTCCGTCGCCAAAAAATTCAAATGTACCTACACTACTGAATAACTTCTTACAATGCTTTTTATATCTAGTGACCGTCTCTATTGGACCAAGCACTCGTATGAATATTTACAGCCAGAGAGACAGGTAATATCGACCCACTTCAAAACGTCGAATTAAATTGAAACTGCGCACATACTTATCAAGGACCTGTCACAATTTTCCTGATTAGGATGTTGAGGATGAGCAAATTCTTCTCGAATAAAATGGTGAACTATGTACCTACGTTTTTATTCTTTCATTCCTTCGAATGAATGAATAACTTCTTACAATTCTCTTTATATCCAGTGACACGACAGTCTCTATTGGACCAAATACTCGTATGAATATTTACAGCCCGAAAGACAGGTGGTTTTGACTTACTTCAAAACGTCGATTCGAATTGAAACTGCGGACACTTATCAAGTATACTCATGACAAAAGCATTATTTAATATAGTTCTGATTCATTATCCTGATCAGGATCTTCAGGATCTTCAGAAGATGAGCGTTTTTTTTTTCTCGAATAAAATGGTGAATGATGTTCCGCCACCATAATTGGAAATGTTCTGTCGCCAAAATTTCAAATGTACGTTTTTAGCCCTTCGAATAACTGAATAACTTCATACATTGATTTTCATATCCAGAGACACGGCAGTGTCTTGCACCAAGTACCAACAATAGCATAATTTAGTAGATCTTTTCTATCATCCTGATCATCAGGATCTTCAGGATGAGTGATTTTTTGCATCTAAAGACACGGCAGTGTGTCTTGCACCAAGTAGTATACTCGTATGTTATGAAAATATAGTTAAATACATCCAGAGAGACGGTATAGGTATAAGTAGTGTTTTGCACCAAGTACTCGTATAAAAAGAGTATCCGGAAAGGGATAAACGGTTACAAAACATTCAAGGAAAGCAACAGGCCCTCAAATTACCCACTTTCACTGCGGGGCGGTAGTTACAAAAAAACGAAAAAACCTCGGAAAATACTAAAAAAATTACGCATTTGTATAGTAAGCCGAACTAAAAAATAGAAAATAGATGGTAGTTAATTCAAATAACTAAAAAAAGCGGGTTTTATAGAAAGCCAAACTGAAATGAAAAAGAAAACAAAAAAATGAAAGTGTGTTGTTGAATAGGTACTTACACAAAATGTAAAATATTAGCATCTCCGTAATCAGTATTTTCTTCTACTTTTCAGTATGGCTATCTATAAAATCGTGTTTTTTTTAGTTTTTCAAACCTTACTATTTTATAAACTAAAGGAAGTCAGGAATGCTCGAGGTCATCTCCACAAATTTCAATGGTGTTGTTACTCGATCGTAAGGGACATGTTTCGATCTTATGAACGAACATTAAAATTTGTGTTATTTTGAAAAATTTCACTCCACTTAGATCAATATGGATTTCTACCAAAGATTATTTTACAAAACGTTCAGGTGAACCATACTTCGCAGATGGCGCTCACCCTAGCCTCTAGGGTGCAAAGTCCACGGTTGGTGATCAACCATCAGACCAGAAGCAGATACGCCCTCTGCAATGTCTTCGAGTGGAACCCTCGGCCCGGCAGGTTGCAGGTCGGCATCCTGCCGCGAAACAAAAATAACAGTCGAACGTGTTGTTCGGGGCTCAGGTGCGAGTTCGATCGCGGTAGGCGTGGTTTGCGGCGGCCCCGCCAAGGGATCGGCTACACGCCTTCAAAGGCCTTTTCCCCCTCCCCCCGTGCCGCGGCGCTTAAAAACTAGTCACGATATTTTCAAAAGATCGACTACTTATGATAACACTGCTGGCTGAGGTTGAGAAATCTGTGGTTGAGATGAGGGGCTACTTGATATTGTGATATCAATATCGAGATCAGCTGATTGCTCTGATGCCTCACAGCAGGAACGAGTTTTCAGTTGATGTGGAGAACGGTGCTTTTCTTCGGGCCGTAACGATATCAGATCATTTTATGTGCAATGTTGGTACTTATTTTATTGCTGAGTTGGTAGGTAGGTTGGGAGGAAACTATAGCATATGATGATTGATGACCAAAAATATTTGCATGTGTTCCATATTAAACATATTCTTAAATGAAAAAAGGTAACACCGAGGAAAATTCCTATTAACCATCATAGTCAGAAATCGAATTAGCCCAGCAAGAAACTGTATAATAGCATAGGGGACAAGCGAGTTATAACCTGGTGATAATAAAGTCGACTTTGCTGATTATAACCCACCTGCGATTATTAGATATAGAATCTTGCTCGGAATATATTTCTCGTTTTCAGCATATTTAGAGAATATTCTTGGAATATCCAGTGCGAATCGTGATCTCGGTCGCTCTAATTCGTTCAACCGTATACCTATACCTATAATATTTCATCAAAAATGGGCTTGAACCTTAGACTATGCGATAATTTTCTTCCATCAACAACAATTTTGTAGGTATATTTATTTAGGTATAGGTATATTTTACATATGTGATAGTATACGTACCTATATATAGAGGTACTAGTGATTGTCTGTCCACATATATATTCATACCTGATGGAAAAAAAATCAAATGTATGTACCTAGTGTATCAATAAAAACCTTATCCTGATGACGTTATCCCTATGTGTGAGCATTTAATAAATTTGTTCTGAAGGGGGGCAATAAACAGATTTTGGGGCCAAAGAGTGGCTCTGTCAAGAGCCTCCAAATTCCACACATCGGAGTGTCGGCTCAATCTGACCGCATCCACCTATTCTATTACTTTAATTGCCCTAACACGTGTTCCTCTATCTGCTTTTAATATGAGTCGCACTCGCGTCACTGATGGCATTCGGGATTTTGGCCACTCGTTATCTATAGCCTGATATGGTCGCTCTCATCAAGCCATTATGATTTGACTTTCACTAATAATACACCGAATTGCTGTTGCAACCGGCCTGTGCAGTGTGTGCAGTGCACACAGGTGACTGCTACTGCGATATAAACAAGCAAGGATACAATTTCACTAATTTTCATGTGGTTGCAGTCAAAAGCCATTTTTCCTAACCGGGTCAACAATGAGTTAATCAGTCAATTTTCCTCGAAATGTATTCCAAACTATGACGTAATAGTTTTAACCAACCACACAAACCATTCGCTCTAGTTCACGGAGTAGTTAAGGCTTTTGATTGATGGGCACTGGATAGGTCGCGTGTGGAGGTAAAACTGAAACACAACCTCACTTTCCTGTAAAACATCGAAACACAACCTCACTTTCCTGTAAAACATCGAAACACAACCTGGCTTTTCTTATTGAAACGGAATATTCTCAGATATATTTATGAACACAAAAAAATTTATACATATATAAAGAAATACATTGAGAATTCGCATTCTCCATGTGATGAAAATATTAATTCTTTCTCGGTTTATTCATCAGAAAACAACTATTTTCCTGGCTATATATGCCACGACGAATATTGAATTACATCTATCGAACACACACGATAAGAATTTGAAAACAAAATCTTCGGAAGTATAGAGAATTTGCATTCTCCTTCATATATATGTATATGATATCATTCTGAATATTCAACAGAACACAACTACTTTCCTGGCTATTTGCCACGTCGAACATTGAATTACACTGGAAATAAAATTGTCCACGCAATAATGTGTCAATTTCGATCCACGCCCGATTGAGTTGAAATATCACCCTATTTACTTGACTGTGTAAAATGGTAATTTATGAGCCGATTCAATCAAATTTGTTGTAAACATTCTCATTGATAAGAAAATGATGATGAAATATCTAGTTTGAGTTGAGAATTCACTCAAAAATATCTATGAGTAAATTCACTCACAACCACATATGCAGTCACTCAAATGGATTTTCTACAGTGTATATCTGTTGAATATACAAAAAGAGAGCATGAAAAATCAAAATGTTCTGAAATTGAGAATTGACATTATCTTTCCACGTCCTGTATGATGAATATCAATTTATCATACATCCAAAAACTCATTTTTCTTATTTGTTTACAAAGAAATCAAAGGATTGAAATAGTTCTTCACAATATTTTGGTATACGAATCGTGTTTTTTTGAGCTATTCATATTAATTCAAGCAAGCCATCACATTGTGCTGCTGTACAATGCCCAAAAAAATTCATCGGGGTATAGGTACGTAGGAATATAGTACTTTTTATTGACCTGAAAAATCAGATTCCTAATATATGTTTATATATTGGATAAAACTTTAATTCTGCGTCAACTTTTTAATTGTAGACTATTTTATTGTTGGTAAATTGATCGACACAACAAAAAAGAGCAGGGATGTGGATATGCAGTGAATGAAAAGATCTCAATTGATGGGCAATTTTTCTTAGAAATTATAAGGAGAATGTCGGTTTGTTAATTATTATCAAGTATTGATTTATTCAAGAAACTCTGTCAAATTCCAACCGATTTCCAAAAACGATCACGAGAGTTTTCGCAATGGAAAGGGCTTTAATAATGTGTTGAAAGTAGGGTAGCTCCGTTTGAAATTTCAAAATTGGGGTTGCTAGGGCTTAGGGGGAAAACACATTAAGCTGGTTTAACTGTAAAAAATGCTCTCTCTGGTTATCTAGTTATGAAGGGTGGGTCAAGTTTTCGTTGAAAGACCCTGTATATCATCGTCCATCGACCAAGAGGGCATGAAATTGTATCTCATCAAATTCAGTTTTTGTTATAGTTGTATAGCAATTAACCCCGACAAAATATGTATACCGAATGACGGTAATTCGTAGTCGTATCCCCTTCTGCCAGGGAAATTTAATCTCATGACATCTACAACAAAGCAATACAATAAATTACCGATATAAAACAATATGAAAGCGAGGAATCCGTTAGTCTTTGCATTCCTTTGCTGCTCGCTTTCAGTTCCGAACCAGCGTCAGCCTTCCAACAACCCAATTACAACTGTTTGTGCCTCTGAATATAGCAGGAATCTGAAAATGTCACGGCATTGTCACACACAACGCTATGAAGCAGGAAATTGACACCAGTATTGTAATTGTGTGTGTTGATGCTATATCGTTCAGTGTCCCACTTTGCATAATGTAATCCATAAGCGTCACTGATGTTTATATATAGTTTGTTCCGTGTACCTACGAGAATAGCTAACCTCTTCAGGGTGACACGGAAGTTTAGGTATTCTACAAAAATTTAAGGGTGTTAAATATGAAGAAAACAAACATTTCGTGCTAAGAAACCTATTTACGCTGGCGCTTAGTTTCGGTGCTAGCAAAATATCTAGTTTCTCACATCAGAAGCCTTATCTACGAGCAAGATTTGTTTGGGAATTCAAACCTAGTGTTATTAGTGTGAGATCCTTTCCACATGTTATTCTAATCCTTCAGGTTGGGAAAGTAGGATATATATAAGTTAGGCAAGCCAAGGTTAGTTTATTTTATTGTACCAGTATTTCCCCTGATGCCCTGATGAAGCTGCTGTATTAGCGAAACATGTCGTGTGATTAGAAATTTTGTGGAAATCTCATCTTTTATGAAGTTTTCACAATTGTATATCTGCTTCAAATTAAGTATATCAACGGAAAAACCTAGAACCTTACGATTTCCAAAATGTGTTTATCTTTTTTTTCAATCAACACGCTTCTAATACAACTAGGAGAAAGCCACATACTCAAAGTGGAATGCATTGGTCACAAAGAGAGAGAAACTCGAGTCATTTCCACAATAGTTAATAAAATGAACAAAAATGGTAGATAACTAGAAAAAAACAACTACTTTCCTGGCTATATGCCACGCAGAATATTGGATTACATATTCCCGAAATCTATGCAACAATTCGTCTATACGATTGGATTGCATCCTCCCGTATAGAAGAGCATGATTCAATAGTTTTATTCCATTATCCTGATCAGGATCTTCAGGATGAGCGATTTTTTTTTCTCGGATAAAATGGTGTATGATGTTTCACCACCAAAATTTGAAATGTTCCTTCACCACACTTTCAAATATATGATTTTATTTCATCGTTCCTTCGAATAACTGAATAACTTCTTATGCAATGTTTTTCATGTCCATTGACACGACAGTCTCTTGGATCAAGTACTTGTATGAATAGTTACATACACAATAAAGTTTCCGGAATGGGAGCCTGATAAACGGTTACAACATTCCAGGAAGGCAACTGGCGTGCAAACTATACCCACTTTCCGGCGAGCTTTCCGGTAGATAAAAAAAAACTAAAAAAGTAGTTATAGCCAAACTAAAAAATTGAAAATAAATAGTAGGTAATTTAGAAAACTAAAAAACTTGCTCTCCTAGATAGCCAAACTGAACAGAAAATGAAATAATAAAAGTATGTTGATGAATAAACAACATAGAAAATATTAACTTCACCTCCGTGACCCATATTATTTTCTATGTTGTGTATTTATCAACACATACTTTCAATATATTATTTTCAACTTCGTTTTAGTTCGGCTCTCGGTCTGGCTATCTATAAGAGCACATCTCCTAAGCTGTGATAAAAGTGTGTTTTTTTTTTAGTTTTTCAAATTGACTATGTGCATGTTTGATTCACTTTTATTTAGGTGCTATATATATATGACGGAATTTTCGAAATCACTCTTGATCATAGTGAGTTCTATTCGCAGTTCTGAAAAATATCTTCGTGTAGCTGAACATTTGGTCCGGAAAAGATCTACGAACATTTATCACCCATGTATGCCCTTGTGAATCCAAGTCATTTTTTCAAATTAAACTGCTGGCAGCTATGGAATCATATTTTGTGTTGTTATAAGTCTAACTGTCATCAAATTCATTCAATTTG